GCAGGGCGAGGGGAGAAGCCGCCTGAGAATCCTCTGTCTGCCCACCTTCAGGGTTATGGCTGCGGCCAGGGGAGGACAATCAGTGCTTGTTCTCCCCTGGGCAGGGCCTGTTGCTCCCCTTGTTGAGCGAGCTTTGAGGGGGCGAGGGGGCTCCGCTTGGGTTCCTCAGGGACACACAGGGCTCTGGGACATTCCGCTGACCTCCCTAGGCCACTTCTCTGTCAAATCACTCTGCCCCTCTGCAGACCTTTGACCTGCCTGCCCCCCAGGGGTCACTCCTCCAGCTTGGTGACCTGTTTCCATACCTTCCACGTGGGTCCCTCTGCCACCTCCCAGCTGCTGCAGGGACCGTGCGGCTCCCCCTCCCCAGCCCTCCATCCCAGGTGTGCCACCAGGTCCAGCACACAGAGCCTGTCTCTCCCCCCGTCCCCGGGGCACCGTGGGCTGTGAAACGGGACACGCCAGGATTCACCAGGAGGCTTCTGTTGGCCATTTTATGTTCGGCACCTGACATTTAGTGAAAAACCGGAATATGCCAGGAAAGCCACCCTCGTGCCCTCTACCCGCCACTTGTTGTCTCGATGGCCTGGTGACTCTGGAAAGTGAAATGCTTCCTTGAGGTAGAGGCTGGTTTGGAGCCTCAGTCAACCGCTTGGACCCAGCTGGTGAATTAACAACACCTCCCCAGGAGGCCCGCCCAGCCTGACACCTGCCCCCTGCACGCTCACCTCTCACAGCCCCTGTGGGCCGGTAGGGAGGGGACCGCTCAGAGCAGGACCAGTCCCAGGTGCTGGGCGGCACCTCTGCCTCTGTGAGGTCCAGCGCCAGCCCAGGCCTGGGGTTCTGTTCTGACAGCCCAGGCCCTGCTCCGGAACCTCCCTGCCCCACACAAAGGCCAGGCAGCACCGGGCTTTGGTGGGGAGGAGAGGAGCAGGAGTGAGAGTGAGCTGTGACCTTTCTTCCCTGCCAGCTGCCCGCGAGCCTGAGCCTGGCTGGGACCTGCGGCTGGGGGGCAGGCGCTGCTCGGCGGGATCAGATCGCCGTGTGTGTTCCCGTCCTCCCTCCCTACTTTCCCTTTCATTTCCCAGCTGTGTCCTGCCCACTGCCCCAGCAGGCCTGAGGAGAGGGCCTCCTGGGGAGACCCCTGTGGAGGTGGCCTCACCGCGGGGACCTGGAGCTGGGGCTTCCCTGGTGTGTGCCCCCACCCCCGTGTGACTTGATTTCCCCGGTGCCCACTTCCCGCTTTGTGGAGGCCCCCCCTCAGCCTCTCTCTCATTTCCTGCGTGTACACCTTGCACTGGATCGATCTGGGGGACAGGTAAGAAAACGGGTGCGGGCCAGTCTAGAGAGTGGGAAGAACGGCAGCGGGGGGGGGGGCAGGCGTGGCGCCGTTGGAGGCAGTGTCCACCTTCCAGCCTTTGTCACTTCTCCCGGGCTGGCTGTTGTGTTTGTGTGTAGTGCTTGTCAGCGGAGTGCTGTGACAGGAGGGCTATTTTAATAAACTGTTGCAGTTTCCCGAGCCGAGCTGCATCGCGTTGGCATCCCTCGTCACCGCTAATGGAGCGTGCGTGGCTGGGTGTGGGCC